TAGTAACGCAGTGAAGGAGTCATTTCCATCCCTATAAACCATATATATTCTTGATCAGCATTAGCATTTATGTAAATAGTGTTTTCTATTCTATTTTTCATGCCTTTAAAAGTTTTTATACATTTTTAAAATAAACAGAAACAAGAAAGAAAGCTAACTTTGGCCAGCCAACAGGTAACAATTAAAATATATCATAACTAAGCCAAAAATGCATTAATTTCGATTCGGAAAGCAGTTTTGTGTTAGTTTTTATTAATTTAAAAAAGCTGCATACCAAATTTAAAATTTTAAGAAATCAAAATTTTTGGCCATTTTTGCTCATTTTAATGATGTAACCCCTTATCAAATTTCCCAAAAATGGCCAAAAAATCGATTTCTTCCGGACATGTCTAGAAAGATTCCCCTGTCGATGCTGATCAAGAATATATATGGTTTATGGGGTCGGAAATGATTCCTTGACTTAAAAAAATATTATTCTGTATTATAAAATCGGATTTTTTATATTAAAAAACTTCATGATTTTATTTAAATTTAAAAAACACATAACTCGGCCAAAAGAGCATTAATTTTAAATCGGAAAACTGTTCTGTGCAAGATTTTCTACAGTTAATAAATCTGCATACTTCATTTAAAAATTTTGAAAATTCAATTTTTTATCAAAATCAAAAATTTTAATGATGTAACCCCTTATAAAATTTTGCAAAAATGGCCAAAAAATCGATTTCTTCCTGACATGTCTAGAAAGATTCCCCTGTAGATGCTGATCAAGAATATATATACTTTATAGGGTCGGAAACGTCTCCTTTACTGCGTTGCAAACTTCTGACTGAAATTATAATACCCTGCAAGGGTATAAAAATATCACAGCTTAAAAATAGTTTCTAAAATATTTAATATATTTTTAATCTTCCTTAATATTTTTTCAAGCTCATCAAATTTTATTTTCCGTGTACTGCTTTCAAGTAGACCATATGGAAATGCCTTGAGTAATATGTTTGTCTGACTCTGCACAGACCAAACTCTGACCCCCATTCAGCCCCTCTTAGTCGTTGTGGAGCAGGGGGGTAGGGGGGGATTTGAGGGGGGAACCACCGCCAAAGGCGCACGTTAAGCGAATCGTGCACACGCCCCATGACGATGATTAATTACCTTTTTGGCTGCTCCGCTTGCTCGCTCGCTCGCTCGCCGTTCCCTTGCTGGATGTCTCGGATGTATCTTTGTATCTCGCAGCTTGTATCTTGTGCACATTTCACTTATGCACGCCTCACGCCTTGGTGGCCAGAGGGGCTCCTCCAGCTCCTCCTCCTCCTCCTGCTCCTTGAGCTTTTTGGGGGGTTCGTCGTTTGTCGCTGATGAAGTTGTATTATTTATCGCAAAAGTGATTTTTCGCACTTTCCGCGTGTCTTCGGTTGTCTGGTTACCTCTTGGAAAAGGAATGAAATGGAGAATATGGTGAGATGGAGAAGGTATAATAGGGTATAAGAAGGTTGATAATATAATTAAGGAAATATTAATTGTACTAAGAGGAAATACATCCATATTTTGAATAGTTTTTGAAATATTAATTAGGTTGTAATACCATACTTTTTTTCAAAATTAAATTTAAGGCTTAAAACCTCTTTAAAATATAGTTTTCAAAATTCTTTGGCTTCTTTCTTATTTCCCACCTCAAGTTATAAAATTTTACGAACCATTGCTCACCACAAATAAATTCCATAAATTTCAAAAACCAATGATCTTTGTAAGTTCCACATTTGACAACCATAACTTCAAGAAATAATTGATATTTCTAGGTATATAAGACCTCAAACTAACCAAACTCATAACTCTCAACGATTGCATTAGCTCCCATTCGATCTCCAAATTTAGAAGACACATGTGTTCCTGCAACTCCTTTCGAAACATATCAAGTTGCCCTACAAATCGATTGAGGGCGTAACTCCTAGAGCAATTTTTAGGGGTTGCGAGCTGGGTATTTTAACCGAAATTCGAAACCGCGCAAAGTCAATGAACCAAAACAAACGAAAACAAAAGGGGAGACAAAGAAAACAAATACAATAGAGGAAATCAACAACACAAAAAAAGGCAACAAAATGTACAGAAAATGCACAACAATTTGACATCTGTTTCAACGCCAGAAAAAGGAGTAAAAAGTGAGCGAGGACAAAAAGGATGTCACGTAGATTGACTTGTACGATGGCTCAAAACTTCAACTTGGCAGCCACTCGAAACTCCTCAGCGAAGGAATAAAATTCCTTGGAGTTCGTGTGACAAATGCCAAGGGTTAATGAGATCCCTGCTTGGGTTCGCTTTTGGAAATTTGGAGTTGTGTTAATTATCATCAGCGACGAGCGGGAGTTTAAACGCTTCATTAGACAAAAAGATACAAAGAGCTGGAAAAGAAAAGCAGAAAAGCGAGAGCCAGTCCAGGAGGGGTGAAAGCGATACCGATACCGAAACATATTTAGTGAAAAATATCAAATTACCAACAAAAAATAAAAACCGGGAGTCTTAACGGGAATGGATTTTTGTAGAGCAACAGAGGGGTCTGAAAAATATAAAAGGGGAATGATATTAGGCATTCAATTAGTCACTTTTAACATGGGTGAGAGATTGCTGCGACTTGCTGGAGATTAGAAGTTGGAAGATACTTTTCATAGATAGTTTTTAAACTGATTTGGTTCTTGGAAAATAAAGTAAATGCCAAGAGAGATTTATCACAATTTTTTTAGAGAATTATTTAGAGCAGTATTGATGTAAAATTTCGCATACAAGTCAGCAACATTCCTTTCCCTTCAACAATTCCCAGAAATCCTTCCCCTAATTAACTATATTGTTAAGATATTTATTCACAGTTCAAGTATTTCCTAAGAAACCCGTTCAAGATCATTAATATGCATTGTATTTTTGAAAAATGATTATTCAACATGCTCGAACTTTAATTGTCAAAAGTCCACTGTTGCCCTTAAAATGCAGCCACAAAATTATGCTAAATTATTCATTTATATTAATTAACTCAAAAAGCTAAAGGCGAAACTTCAAGAAGAGCGGTTCCAAGTTTCAGTTTTTGGCATGTGAAATGATTGATCGATCGATCTGGCAAAGAAACCTCCCAGTGAATCATTCGAAAGCAGAGAGAAGTGACTCATTTCCGAATAACAAACATTATCGAAAATGGGAATCGGCATCGTAAAACTGCAATTGACAGAGAGGAATATTCCGGGTTAAAGGTCATGCTGGATCTTCTTCCCGTTTTACGACTCTCAAAACAAAAAACTTAAAGGCAAAACACCGCCTAGAGTAGCGCCCCCCATAAACCATAAAAGTGCATAATCTATGACCACTTGACTCGCATTAAACAAAGGCACAACATTTATACATATATTTTATGTATAAACATTTCCTACTTTATTGAAATATTTTTTTTTTTTGGGGAGCTGAGAGATCTCGCTGGGCGGCAGAATTAAAACCGCCGATAAGAAATACAATCCCCAAATTAAAACTGAAACCGAAACCGAAGCTCAGCTCACATCATAGTTTTTCATGAATTTCATGTACGGCTTCCGTCACACGACTAACTTAAATCATACAAAACGGAGAGTACAACAAAGAAAAGTTTTTTCGTTCCGCCAAAAAAAATATAGGAAGCTATCAAAAAACATAAAAAAGTAGAGGGAGTTACTACATTGTCAAAATCACGTGCGTGCCCCGTCACTGGGCAACTCTTTTTTGGGGTCTTGTAAATTTATTTCGTCATATATACAGCCGGAGTTCTTGTTATGCAGCTTTTCATGGCATTTTCCCTATGTTTTTCCTTTTGAAATTACAACTTTGTCATTAAATTTGGACAAAGAACGTAGCCACTGTTGGTAATAAAAGGCTAATCAAATGTTTGCGGAAATATAAATGTAAATATTAGCTACTGAGGGTAGTAGAAACATTAAAGAAACCATAAATTCATAAAGATTTATCTTAAAAAAATAAAAGAGAACTTATGCAAGGCATAACAAATATTTATAAATATATTTACCTTCTAAATATTATACTTTCAAGATTTTCCCTATAGAGTATTGTAATTTCTGTTTCATTTTAAATTCAATTATCACCTCTTGTTGAATTTTTTCCTTAACAACGCTTGGTGACACATGAAATTGTAGCATACAATTCACGCTAGTTAAGTTTTTTTCCAAAAAAAAAATATATATATAAAAAGAATAAACAACTTCCGTCAATCGAAATAATTTCAGGGTGCAACTCCTGATTAAAGGATGTCTATTAAATATTCATGTAAATGTCAATTTAAAGCCACTATCTTCCCCTCTGCGATGGGTTATGGAACGGTTGAGTGGCGACTTTTTTGTTGTCCCGGCTTCGGTCTGCATTATTATTGATATTGAGCCCATGAATCCCCAATGAAAGGCTGCCCTTGCCCTCGTGCTTTCCTTTTTGAACTGTGCCGACGCTCAGGAAAGGGTGGGTGGAAAACAGGGGGGGTTTTTGGGTGATTTTTGGGTGTATTTTTGGGGGGTTTTGGGAGACGTATAAATAACAATAGACTTATTGCAAACAATACATGAAATGCATTCGAATAGGGCTTTGATATAAGGCTTTGTTTGGTTTTTTTATGAGTTCTGTCTCGATGAACTTTAATCAAAGTTTGGGAGGCTTTAACTTTGTAATAATAACAAAACTTGTATATAGAAAAATAAAGAAATATAAAGTATAACCTGGTAAATTATTATATCAATAAATTTCCAAAAAATTTCCCTAAGAAAAAGATAAAAAGAATATAATTTCAAAGTCATACCACTTGAGTGTTACCTTTTCCATTTGAACACACCTCTGGCTATCGATAAAAAATTAATAAAATTAAATCACAACCCTTGAAGGAGCAACTTTAAACAATTGTAGAAAACTTGGCCACACTGTCTGTCACAAGGAAAAAAACTTAAACCGAATGTCAATTCACTTTTTCTCTTGCCAAAAAAAAAAAAAATAGTGCAGTTTATTAGTTCAAAAAGATCTTACAGGAGGATTGCTTTCCAAGCTCTGTTTTTTCTGTGTAAAAAATTTAGAAAATAAAGCAAGGAAAATGTCCTCTCTTGACCCATTTAACGATGATTTCCGTTTCCCCATGGACTCACCACTGGCAGAACCCATGGAGGCCAAGGAGGACCTTCGAGCCAACGCCTTCGAGGAGTTTGTTGAAAAGCCAAGCGAATTTTCAAGCTCGACAGAGGATAATATCATAGGATTTGACGACTTCTTTGACACACTGGATCTGCCGCCGGTATTGAAACTCACTGAGGGTCCGCCCGAGAGCACCAAAGCCCAGGAGCAGGTGAAGCACATACAGCATCCGCCGGCAGAGATGAATGTCAACCAGCATGAGTTGGGGAAGATTCAGCAGGAGACGAAGGCCCACTTGAAGGAGGCCAATCCGCCGCAACCCATGGGCATGAACCTGCTGGGTTGTCCCTTTGTCCTGAAGCTCTACCTGGCCGCCAGCAGCGACGCCATACCCATGCTCAACTGGTCGCCAAGTGGCCGCCAGCTGGTGGTGGACTATCAGGCTCTGCAGGATCATCTAACTGCCGGCAGTCAGATTTTCCGCTGCCGAAGCGTTAAGCAATTTACGGAAAAGCTGACCACCGAAGGCTTCGCGAGGGTCGATAAGGAGGAGACAGATCCAGCTGAGAAGAGTGACCCATCAGATGACATGGAGACCATGCTCCTCTACTACACGCAACCCGAGTTCGTCAGGGGCAAGCTAGACGCTTTGAAGACCTTTATGGAAGACAGTCTCCTGATGGAAAAGTATTACCCAATGGGTGCCCAGAATGGCCAATCAGCTGAGGATGCTGAGGACGAAAAGGAGCTAGAGTTCCTTGTGCCGCTACACATGCCCTCGAAGAGCCACCTCGAGCGGATGCAACAGCGCGGCGACAAGTGCTGCTCCATCATCTCCGTTCGCTCGTCCATCCAGGCGGAACGCACCCGATTTCGCACTCTGCTGGATCACTTGGCCACCACCCAGGTGCTCCAGGCCAGCGCCCATCTCTGCAAGAATCCAGCAATGAAGAAAAGCCGTCCCTGGGACTGTCCCACCTTCACCAGTTCCTCGATCAAGTTTGTGCGGCCCCACGACTCTGTCATCACCCTGGATGCCAACAAGCCGCCGCCGGAATATGCTGGCTACTATGGCCAGGTGTCTCCCTCGATGGTCAACCAGTTCTTCGGGGACTTTATGCCGCGTTATGGCAACAAGACCACCGGCTACAAGGATATTGTCCTGGAGACCACCCACAAGGCCAGCAATTTCCAGCAGAACCTTCCCATTGGCCTGGCCTATTCCGATGGCGAGGACAATGATCCTGACGATTTTCCGCCACCCGCCTCCCCCGCTGGCCAGGACTCTGACATGGACTCTATGCCCTCCACATCGGCAGCGGCGGCTTTAAGATCTTCGGCGGGCCGCAAAAAGGGAGAAGACTCGCTGGACGACCAGGAGCTGGAGGAGGCCATGCAGGAGCTGTGTGGCGGATCATCGGCGCTCAAGGAGAATGCCTCCTCAAGCAGCCGTGGAAAGGCCAAGGGCCCACAGCAGCCCAAGGCTGGGTCCCGTGGACGTCGCGCCAAAAGCTTCGAGTCCAGTTCCAGCGAAAGCGAGGCTGAAGTCAGTCGGAAGGCAAAGAAAGCCAAGAGGGAAACTGTCAAGGATGCAAGAAAGACATTGAATACTAAACAAGAGGAAGCCATCGACAATGATGAAAAGGTTCTGGCCAAAAACCGAGGGCAATCCAAGGCCAAGACTCCAAAAGCCACATCCCGAAAGCGGCTTACCAGTCCCAACAAAAGGGAGGCAGGTTCCCCTAAAAAGAGAGCAAAGAAAGGTGCCCAGGAATCTAGGAAAGCCAAGAAGGAACTGGAGCAACTGCAGCAATTGGAGGAAGTGGTGAAGGTAGAATTGCTGGCGAAGAAGAAACCCGGGCATAACAAGAAGGAACTAAGTGAAGCTGCTGAGAAAACTAGTGAAATCGAGGAGGCTCCACAGGACGAGGTGGACAAGCTCGAAGGGGAAGAGTATCTAGATGAAGAAATCTTAGAAGAAAACGAACAGCCAGAAGACGAGGACCTTGTAGAAGAGCTTCCAGAAGATGACGAGCCAGCCGATGATGAGCCACCAGAAGAAGATGAGCAACCCGAAGAGAATCTAAATACCGTAGAGACTCAGGAAGCCGAAATGGGCGAGGACATTGAAGAAGACTTGGACACCGAAGAGGACTTGGAAGACGAGGAAGACGGGGAAGACGAGGAAGACGAGGAAGATGAGGAAGACGGGGAAGATGAGGAAGAAGAGGATGCTGAGGACAACGAAGAGGACGATGATGATGACGATTACAGCGTTCAGTACCGGCCTTCAGCACCGGAAGCAGAAAAGCCACGACGCTATCATCTGCGCAACTCCAAAGGAAAGTCAAACTAAAATCAAGGCTTAATATTTTTTTTTAATAATTTGAACTACGTCTAAACCTAAAGAAAGACGGAGAGGAAGTTCCAAGGGTTTCCCTCAATTAAATATTAATTTTAATACAATTTCAAGGTGCTTTTATTTAAAAGAAAGAACTAGATTAACCAATTCTTATAACAGCTTTCACAGTCTCACCAACACCTCTTGACCCCGCGGCCACTCCACCTCGTTTGCATGTTTTATTTATTCAACTTCAACTTCAAAAGCCATTCCTTTGTACATTTACCATCTTGGGCATATCTAAACCCGGCCATTATAATAACTTTTGTTTGGGTTTCTCTGGCCCGATGCCATTGGCATTGGACATATGGGCAATTAAATCGCTTATCGCCCTTTGATCTCTCACGCCCTCGGCCTGGCCCATTACCGAGGCCAATCAAAAGTGTAATATCATCGGGAAATATCTTACCAATAAAGCCAGGCACCCACACGGGCTAAAAAGAGCACCAGACGGGGGCACAATCAGTCGGATGTTTACAAGTTTTATGAGCCACCAAATAACAAGATGAACAACAGGCAACCGAAAACGAAACCAGAACCAGACACCGAAACTTAAACGATGCTTGACTCTGGGCTTGGGTTTCGGGGATTCGATTTGCAATTTTTTTTGTTTAAATATAACTCAGCGTGAGTCGAGACACGATTTTTATCGTCTTTAATTTGCTTTTTATTTGATATCATATTTCAAGGCGAACCTCGCCAAAAAGAGATTTCTTTTTCGCTTTTTTTAAGGGTAAGAACTTTAAGTCAAGACGTCATAATGTCATAAAAATGTCACATACTTTTAATAACTTTATGACAGCTACAAAATCATAAACAAAATGCCCTGACAGCCACACACACAACGAGGAGAAGGGGAAGTGGATTCTGCGGCTGGGATCTCTTTTGGGAGTCATCATAATGAGATGTGTCATGTTTTGCCTTCCGAGAAATGTTTCTTTTTGGCCTTTCTGGCTTCTGCCGCGATTGAACATCGTCTAGAGTTGTCTGGGGCAGAACTAAATCCTGTCTGCGCCCCCCCAGAGTCTCAATTATAAACATGACAGCCTGATTATTAAATTTGATGTTTAAATGATGATGAGAAATGTCTATGGATGTCAGAGGATTATAGATCTTTTTAGAAAAGAATAAAGTATAATATTCCTCAAGATCTATTAGTTATCGCCTCTTAAATACAAAACCAAACCCACCTCTACTCAGTCCCAACTTTAGTTTCAACGCATAAATTGGCTTTGCCAGAGAATAAAATTATGGTATATAAAGTCGGGACTTTGGTTGCATTATAATGAGGATTTCTGCTGTATTTTTTTTTTCTCTCCCGCAAACCCTCAGCTTTGCTGAGTTATTAAATGCCAAGTTATTTGTCGTTTAGCTGGAAATTCATGCAGGTCGGCGGCAGTACTTTAACTTGTTCGTTTCGTTTCGTATCTTTTTCTTTTCCTTTTGTTTCGGGACTTTGAGACTGCTTTATGGATGTGAGTAGGAAATCTTTACGAGTTTCTGGTGGTGAGACAAATTTATTGGCAAGGCATAAATGTATCTGGCGTTTTACTTTTTCCCGTTTGGCATTAATATCGTAAGTCGTAAAGATTTTTAATGATGCTTATAGCCGTTTGCTGGAAACTATTTACATATGCAACGGGATGGTTTATGGAGCCCAAAGAGTAGACATATCTTTCTATGGGAAAATGCTGCTAGGGAATAAGGTGTTGACTGGAAAATATATATAATTTTAAGGGTTTTTATTAACCAAAGTTTATGGTTCCTTCACTAATTTATCTTAGATCAAAAGATACATATTTAACGAATTTATTTTGATTAAAGTTCAAGTCCAAAGTCTAAGCTTAACTCCGATTGAAACTCAACTCGCCATTTTCCCCAGCGACTAAATAATTTGTTGTACACATTTGTTAAAAACTTTACGCTTATCTTTTTTATGCCGTTTCCCACAAAAAGCCAACTTTATAAATAAGCCAATACAGAAGAGTCCCTCTCTGGGTGTGGGTAAAACTTGCTCCTGTGAGTTTGGCGTGTCCTTGGGCTTTCTTTCAGGTAGAGCAGAGTTATTTTGTGATTGCACAAATGCAAAATGCATAACAATCACAATTGCACCAAAAATATTTCGCCAGCAAATTGGGATTTATATGCACGAGAATGCAGAGAGAGAGATATGGCCTCGTTCCACGGCAAAAACTTTCCTTGAAGGAGCTAAAAGTGGCTCTGCTTTACCTTCAAGTGTTGTAACCCAGTTTCGAATTGCTTTTTTATTTGCCAATCCAGGACTGCAGTTAAGGATGTGGTTATGGATATGCAGATGCTCCCCCGGGGGGAATTCCAAGTAGTTTATGCAACATTTGGCTAAAATCTAACCAAAAAGTTGCCGCAAACTTTTGATCGATGGTGGAATTGCTTGGCAATTAGGTAAATACACTTGGGGAAACCCTTTAAAATATGTAAAGGGAAAGGAAATATTTTTACAAATTTATTTAACTCCGAAACAACAGAAAAGAAGAGGAAAGAAGATTAATATGCAAAGGCATTTGTAGTTCAATGTAAATAATATTTAACTTAGTTTTTATAAATATTTTCAGCTAATAATCCTCCTCGGGATAGGGCATACAATGACAGGCCCCAGGAGTATTCGACCTCAGCCAGCGCAGATACTGATTGACTCTGGTATAAACACCCGGGGACTTGGGCCTGGCACAACCTGCTCCCCAGGACACTATGCCCGCCAATTGATATTGTCCTGGCTGCTCGTCAAAGGTGGTTTGCAGCGGACCACCGCTATCGCCACCACAGGCATCCTTGCCACCCTCCGAGATATAGCCAGCACACATCATGTTATCCGTGATTTGTCCTGGCCTGTAGGTAGTTTGATTCCGACACACCGATTGGGGTATAACCACCACTTGGACTTCCTTAAATTAAATTATATAAAATAATACAAATATATATAAATCAAGGTGTCTTAAGCCCACCCTCAAAGTATCGCTGGCCGAGCCTCCTTCCTTCTGAGCTCCCCAGCCCGTGACCACGGCCAGTTCATGATCAAAACTGTGACCCTGAATGGGCAGGCAAATGGGTCTTATGCGGCGATTCTCCATATCCACCGGTCGCTCCAGCCTCAAAACAGCTATATCATTGTCAAAACTTTGAGGATTATAGAGCTCGTGAACCTTAACTTTGGTCACGTATCTCTGGATAACCACAACATCCTCATTGGGATGCGTGCGATTGTGTTCCAGGAAACGCAGAGTGAGGAGTTCCGGAAGCACACCCTCCACACAATGACCAGCTGTCAGGACATAGAGATCGTTGATCAGGGATCCTGAGCAATAGAATCTATCGTGTATGAGAATCACCGCCATCCAGGGATATTGGTGGACTCTGGTCTCCTCACCGCCCACGATTTTGTTCAAATTATTAATAAAGCCACAGCGACAGCTCACACAATATCTGTCCTGGGGGAAATTGGGCACTGGTGAATACGTTGGTGAAGTAATGGGAGTTGTTGTTGAAGTTGTATTTGAACTTATTAAAGAAGATGTTGTAGAAGTTGTTGTAGAAGTTGTTGAACTTAAGCTAGTTGTTGTGGATTTTCTTGTAGTAACTTCAGTTGTTGGTGTTGTGGTGCCCGGTGGTGGTAAAAATATCGAACTTATCCACTCAAAAAAATTTCCCTGCAAGGGTCGAACTCGCTTGGTGGGCGTTGTTGAACCAAAAACACACAGAAAGCCACAGAAAACAGCGATCAACAGCTGGAGCTTCTTCATCTTCCTGGCAATTTCTACAACTAAACTTGAAACTCAAACTGATCATCCGTTTTAAAGCAGAATCCACAAAAAAAAATCCACTCTGCCTGCTAATCACGTTTTATTCTATCAACAAACCAGCCGGCTGGCTGGGCAACTTTTCATTTTGGCAACACCACACACATTTTCCAGGCTGTCGCACAAATGAATTCATGAAATGTTTGCCCCAGCAAAGTGTAAATGCCTGCCAGGTTAACTAACTAATTCTGGGCAAACGGGCGGGTATACATATTTGCTGAGGGGTTTTCACAGAAGATTGCACTTTTTATGAAAGCCAAATTAAATCGGGGGCCTTAATGGGGTTCAAGATTTGAATTAAATTTAATCTTAAGTGGGATTTAAGTGAAGGCAACTTGGTAAATTAAGGTAGAAGAACTTAGCTATTTATTGTTATATTTTATAAAATCCCTTTCGCTCTTTCCCACTTTCCCATCGATTTTCCTTAATCACCACACAATTCCCCTAATTGACCATTGTTAATACAAGTTTCCACATCAACTTTTCCAACTATTTATCCAATATTATGCAAATCAGACGCCCAATAAGGCTCCAATCAAGAGTTGACACTCCGCCACAAAGCTGGCAAGTTTTCCCCCCAAGTTTTCCCCACCGATTTTCTGATTTTCCCCTCTGCGTGTATATGTGTGTGTTTCGTAAGCTGGCACAATAATCTGTAATAGGCTTAGGCATGAAATATTGACGCTTAGTGACCGCTTAGTGGATGCCAAATGACTAAGTAACGTCATCTTGGTGGAAAAACTCCCAAACCCTCAGGACTCCCAACTCCTCCAACTGTAATTAGAAGAGCTCTGAAAATTAGTGAAAGCATTTTCATAACAGTTTTCCCCCGGTAAGTGTGTGTGTGTGTGTGTGTACATTTATTTGTGGAAAACTAAGCCGCTTATGAGACTGAGACTGTGAGCAAAGCTTTGCGACTTTGACTAATTGAATTTGGTCTATATATTGGGGTATATCCATTGAAGCGTGGCTTTAACCCCAGCACACGACTATAATTTGGATGGTTACACCCACATATGGCCAGGGGTACTGAGAGAAATTGGGAAATGTATTACTTATGAAGGAGCTATGACTTCAAATATTTTTGTAGAATTAAAAGAGTGAGTAAAAATTGTAGGAAACATATTATTTTAAATTGTTTGCATGGCAAAATAATATTTAAAATATTATTTTAATGTTTATGTAACAATTTGAAGCTTTAAAAAAAGTTTAAACAATTTATTTCTCCCCCTGTTCTCTTCATGCTCCAACGCCTAAATGGTAACATTTTACCCCAGTCACATTTTATAGACTAGAGAACTTGGGAGTGTATTTTCCGGCTGGGGGGTTACTGCTACTGCCAGCACCTCCAGTAAATTGTCCAATTATAAAACTGCGTAGGCCAGGTAGCAGTGGCCAGTTGAAAAACCAGACCAGAAGACCAGAAGCCAACTGTTTCGGAGGGGAGAAACTGGAGACGACGCATCATCCACATGTTTCTGTCACTTTTGATAGTCGCTCTCCTCTCGCTTAATTGATATTTATGGAAATGGTTTTCTGCCCGGAAAGTGGAGCGCATGTGGGGAGATTTACAAGCCACAACATTGAACTTCATTCCTCTGCTCCGCTTCTCATTAGAGAGTGGGAGACACAGACAGACACTCCCGAGAGTTACGAGCTGAAACTAGAGCTGAAACTGGAAAAACAATACTGCAGCAGAAGTAATCCACTGACCCACAACTGCAGCCAAGAAAGGCAGCTGGAGAGCCAAAGGCAGTGGCTTTTGTCCAGCTGAAATATATGGCTTAATTGTGGCCGAGTAATAAACATGTCCCGGAGTGGGTAAAAAGTTTTTCGGCTTGCCCAGAAGTTTCCAGGCAAAAGAAAACCAATTAAAATGGCCAAGAGAGGCAAAAGTCAGAAATTAGAGGCAGAATCTTGGCTGACTTGAGTTTGAAGTGGTTAGAAAAGGGCATAAGGTACCTGTAATTAGTTTTAAAAAACCCTTAAAAACAAGACTAAGAATTTCGTTTGATTTAATTAATATTCAAAGAGAGTAAATATTATTATTAAAAATTCTAAAAAAATATTTAAAGCTTTCCAGCTTCTCTGAGCCAAGTAATTACCCAATTCATAGCTCCCTTTCACATTTTTTTGACTTCAAAAATGTTGTATATTTATCTCCCAATGAGAACCGAATGTTTCGCATTGCGTAGGCTGGCCCAATGTGTGAACATGATTTAAAGGCAAATAAATAAAGTTTATATTTATGCACACACACAATATATCTGGACACTACTTAGTTGTCGAACATGAGCTCTTTGGCCGCTATCGCGACAGCATCGGGCTTTAAAATCCGCAGCTTACAAAACAGCAGGCAAATGCAGCCAAAACACACATTCCTCCACCGACACGGCTACAACGATGTCGGCTTTTAATTAAAAGCAACATTTTCACAGGCCGCAGAACAAGCTTATTAACAGTTAACCCAAGCCACTAAAAATATGTACATACAAAATAAACGAGAAGGAAAAAGGAAAAACAACAACTGTCAATTGATAAACAAGTCAACTGTCACTTAGGCCCAACATTGATAGCGACTCTGCGTTTATCAGGCAAAGTGTCCAAGTCCGAGTTCGAGTTCGAGTCCGAGTCCGAGTCCGTGTCCTGCCCCGAGGACCGGATCCCAGCTCCAGCTCCAACCTCAACTCCTTCTGGTAAAAAACTCCACTTGTTGCCGACTGGCGGCCGAGATGGCGATAAGCAGCGACACATGTCACAAGATTTTTCAGACTCAGTCTCCGCCTCTTCTCTTTCGTTTTTTTCTTATTTTTTATTTTAATCAAAAGTGGAAATTAAACGCGGCTAATGAAGATTTTAATTGCGTGCAACAAGCGTCGCTGCAGTTGCATGTGGGCTTTGTATATCTATGAAGGAAATATGTACATATGTGCAGCCCATAAACTTGCAACTTGGGATTTACATGATCAGCATTTGTTGGCAACACGCAATCCCCAAACGCACCAGAGAAAGAGAGACCCATCAGCCTTGGCTAAGCTGATTATGACAGTTTTACAAGGGGAGAGTGGGCTTAAAACAAGGAAAAATTATGGAAAGGTAGGGGGAAATAAGGGGGGAATTTATGGACCAAGGCAGAGAGAGAGAGCTGGTATTAGCATGTCATCTTTTTTGGTCTTTGACTTTGACTATTGAGTCGAAAACAGAAGTTTTGATGGTCTCTATTAAAGATTTTCCCTTTAGAAAGGTATATTTATTTATTAGAAATTATGGAGAGTCTTGGTTGAATTTTTAAATATTTTAAAATAATAAAAGAAAGGCTTATAAAATAGAAATTGACAAGGCACTAACTAAAAATATATTTTATAAAAGGAAACCCTTTAAAAGCTTAAATTTAAATCAAAAATCAACTAAAATCTCCCTTTAAACATTCTAATTTTTACGAAGGTAACCTTTTCTTCCCTTAACCCTATACTCCCTTATTCTCTACACCCTAAACCCATGATATCAACCAGTTAAAGAGCAATTGATTGCTCAGACAACAGACATATCAAAATCCTTTTGTCAGTCACCGAATTTACATAGAGCACACCCAACTTCCTGGCTCTCCGTTTCCTTTGCACCTCAAAGCCACCGGGGGAAAAGCGAAAAGAAAATGTGAAAAATGTCACGCTTCATTTGCTTTAACCGTTCAAACGGACACCTGGCCCAAAAGGTAAACGAGAGACCAGAGATGATGGCAGGGACAGAGAAAAACACGGCACACAAATTCCATGAGAGACGTGGACACAAATCGAATCAGACAGATCGATTAGGCATACAAATGTGCAATTAGAAGTGGAAAGTCCACTCGGGAGATATGGGGATATATATGGTCTATATATGTATAGCAACCCTTTGCCCAATTAGGCGTTGCAAATGGTTAGAATCGGAACTGAAAGCGGATATAGACAGCAAACGAGCCATGTAACAGAGACGAAAGCCGCTCTATATACATATATCCCCCGTTTTCAGCTTCAATTAATTGAATTAAATTTTGTGAGTAATTTCCTTCTTTTTTTTTAATTTACGCGCCATTCGGTTAACCGAATACGTCTGACGCTGGCCACAAATTTCAATAATTACCGACAGTTTTTAATTATCCCTCCGACGGGGGCGGAGCAGTTCACTGACCAGCAAATAGTTTGGAACAGCATTTAATTATTATTTATGATTGTTTAGCGCAGTTTCCAGCTGAAATTGATTTATGCGGTTTTATCGTGTGTGTCCGGTCAAGTTTATTAATTTGTTAAAGCCAGCAGCGATTTGACACAAAAGCCCACCGAAACACCCACTTTTTCAGGGCATTATATGGGGGCCTTTCAGTCATGTCGCCTGCCCATTACAATTACATATTAATTAATAACAATTTTCTTGCATTTTACCAGAGACAGCGGGAAGAGATGTGTGACGAGGCGTGTAAAGCTATAATTAACAAATATTCGATGCTGCAATTATTGTTTATTTATTTTTGGGTGTCAAGAGTTGAGAGTGTAGAGTAGAATACGAAGAGTTGTATTTATTGCGGTTTTAGAGGAATTTTTAAAGGAATTTTTAGTTATTTTTAAAGGAATTTTAACTGTGAAATTGAAGAGCTAAAGGCTGATTCTAATTAGCCCAAAAATTTCCTTAGGCATAATTTTAGCTAGTAAAATATTTATAAAACAAGAAAGAAAGCTAACTTTGGCCAGCCAAAGTTTGTATACCCTTGCAGGTAACAATTAAAATATATCATAACTAAGCCAAAAATGCATTAATTTCGATTCGGAAAGCAGTTTTGTGTTAGTTTTTATTAATTTAAAAAAACTGCATACCAAATTTAAAATTTTAAGAAATCAACATTTCTGGCCATTTTTGCTAATTTTAATGATGTAACCCTTATCAAATTTCTCAAAAATGGCCAAAAA